CGAATATATTTCTATCGCTTGTGATTTTTTTCCTAAGTCTCGTAAACGCTTCCCGACTTATAAATCAAGAAATACAAAGTAGCAATATAGATGTTAACAAGCTCCAACGACATTTAATCCAAAGACAATGCCCAAAAATGGCAATGTGAATATTTGCAAGAGCTTTATAATTTTCGAAAAAAAAAATACCAGAGCTCGTATAGATTTTCTTGTGTTCGGCGCAGTCATTATCACGAGCTCAGTCTTGAGTGATTTAAAAGAGTTATCAAGCTACGAACGTGACAAGGGGGCCTACTGATCATATTTCCTTGACAAGGCCTAAATGACTCCTGCACACGAGATTCCCTGCATTCGCATATTGAAATAGAATTAATGATCATTAAATCTAGCCCTTGGTCTGAACTAGCGTGAGACCACCACGACCACAAAATAAAGAAAAACTAGGCGCTGGGTCGGGAGGTGTCTTCATTTAAGAGATGAATCCTAAGATGAATACAACCAATCGCATGAGAGCATACATTTGTCAGCCTTTTACCTCATCATAGGATTTCGGAGCAAAAACATTTGTAATTGTCCTCGGGAGACAGTTTACACGGAAGACCACGCGCCCCCAAATACACACACACAAACAAACAAATATGCACACACGCATAATACTACAGACCATAGCTTCTGTTAAAATGTCGGTAAACCAGGAACATTTTCTCTTCATTCTCATAGTCAGATATCTGATCAGATTTCTGGTTTGGCCCAAAACTTTTCCGGAACTCTGCATATATATATATATATATATATATATATATATATATATATATATATATATGGGTGTATATAATATATAGAATATAAATACATACATATATATATATATATATATATATATATATATATCAAATTAATTCCTTCGTAGATTGTTTTAAAAATTTTAAAATTTTAAAATTTGAATATTTATCAAACCTAACCTCCCAAATATGCACGTTAAAGTAACGCGAACTGACAGCGTCTAAAATTTAGATGAAACCTGTCGTGTAATTTATTACAGGGTTGTTGTAACGTCTTCCTTTAATGTCGTTCTTATCGTTCACCCCTTAGCCACCTATATCTAGAGACGAGAACGCGTTAAATTTGAGCATCATCTAGCCGAAACACTGGGGTTAAAATAGGAAATTGAAATGATACATATGACACACTCATATCCTCTCCACCTCACTTCTCATTCGTTAACTTTGCGTATACTTGATGAGGTCCGTCAAAAACGTGAATTTCTTTTTTCATTTTCATTTCAGCTTTTGGAAGTAAAAGTCTGATGATCCAGAACCCTGTTAAAGGGGTTATGATGAAATAACAATACATGGAATCTTAATGTGGTCTATCTTTTATTCATATATATATATATATATATATATATATATATATATATATATATATATATATATATTATATATATATTATATACTATTTGTCTGACGATCACAAAAGTCTAAAATCCAGGATCACAAAAGTACAAAATCTAATATATATATATATATATATATATATATATATATATATATATATATATATATATATATATGCATGTTTCATTAAAAAGACGACAAGGTACTACAATTAAGCGCTTTATTTAATTTTCTGTATTCGAACAAGACTTTCTTTTATGGACAAAGAGTGTGTAAAAACTGTCCAAATATTTTATAGTTCCGAGCGCTTTCGGCTATACCTTTAGCCATTATCAAGGATGATTCAATTTTTCTTAATTGTGTGTGCATTATGTGTATGTTTTTAATGTGTTGTGGGGATGTTTTAATTTCCGAATACAGTTATTTTTGTAGGTTTTGTTCATGTTGATATTGTTAAGAGTTGGCTTTTTTTCTTTTATTATTGAAGCTTCTTGTAAAAAAAAAAAAAGATTAAAACTAATGGAAGCTTTAATAATAAAAAAAAAGCCAACTCTTAACAATATTAACTACGAACACGGCCACAATGTGCTAACCGCATTCGGAAATTGAAATACTTGTAAATTGATTCCTTTTATGATTCTATGAGCCACAAAAAGTGTGAAATATTTGATGCGCTCTTAGTAATGAACAATTTGTCGACGGATCACTTCATTTATTATTTCTTTCTTTTTCAGGTAAGTTCCCTCTCATTGAAGGTCATTCGACGGTCTGGCGGGAAAAATCACGTAAGTTCTTTTTTTTGAAAAAGACATTGTACGGTATTAATACTCAGCCTAAGAACTTTTCAGCACACACAATATCTTGAACGCAATTTTATGCTTACAACTATACCTATGTTTACATACTGTTATACTTTCAAAGTAAACGTTTGTTGTTTTATAGATATATATATATATAGTTTGTAGATGATCTATTGCAGGTATTATATGATGGTTTAAATCTATTTCGTTAAAGGTAGATCATTACGCTGATAGTTTCAGTATTTCCAAATAGTTTTCTCCAATTGGTTTCATTGTAGTAATTATGTCTTACAGGGTTTAAGTGTGTACATTCAGTTAAAATGACGTGGAGAACAAATACGTAGAAGCAAGCGAGTCAGAGTGACTTTCATCTGGTGCAAAGGAAAATAAGTTCCTTACCTCAATACACGACACGTAGCGGCGGCTTTTCCTTCTTTGATAAATAGCATGAATCTCCTCTCCTCACGTTGTATTATTCCCAAATTGTATATTCTGTAACGGTGGTATTTGTATGGCTTAGCGTGGTTCGACCAGTAGTAAGTCGCGTGCGGATTGGTCGGACTGGATGATGCCATTTGCCTGGGTAACTAAGGATAAAACTGAAGAACGCTAATTGGTTAGTCGTCCGCGGTTGGTATGACAAAAAACGGCTGAAGCAGTGAGAAGAAAATGATTTTTAGATTGGTGACGGGTGCTTTGAGAAGTGCGAATTGAGAAATGATGGATTTCGTGTTGGACGAGCGACGTCAGGGAAATACAAAGTCATTTAAACTACAAAAATGTTTCACCCAGAGTTCATCTTGGCAGATTGTAGATGTTGGTCAATCTTTATACGTGCGTCAGCAATAATGAATGGCTCAGGTATGTCAGGCCTATGTTGCCTCATGCATTTTCCCCCTTTTCTTGACACCTGCCTATATTCCCTCAGCAAACATCTTGTCAACATGAAGTTTGAAGATATTGCTCTCTCTCTCTCTCTCTCTATATATATATATATATATATATATATATATATATATATATATATATATATATATGTGTGTGTGTGTGTGTGTGTAAGCAAATATATGGATATAGATCCGACAGTATGAAGAAAAATATACGGAAAAAAACGAACAAAAATCCTAATATGCAATTATGCAGTTTTAATGTTAATATAATGTCAACGTCGGACGTTTCGGTCTAGTAGACCATCTTCAGGACATATTCATAAAACATTCATAAAAACGATGGAAACAAGAGCAAGACTAATCCAAATATATAACAGAAAGTTCAGCGTTCCGTTGTAATATGATCACGTCGTCGTCACGTGGGTGATGTTGTGAAAACGTATTCGAAGATGATTTCAAAATATTAGATCTTCTTTTTCAAGTTGAATTGAATATAGTCTAATGTTACATATGTTTTATGAATATGTCCTGAAGATGGTCTATTAGACCGAAACATCCGACGTTGACATTATATTAACATTAAAACAGCATAATTGGGTATTAGGACTTTTGTTTGTTTTTTCCGTATATTTTTCTTCATATATATATATATATATATATATATATATATATATATATTTTAAATAAGTTTTTTCGTGGTACAGAATTTAATAATAGATAGGAAAAGATAATAAGAAGGCATTTTTAAAAGCAAAAGCCAAAATAAAACTACCGGTTTCGTCCCAGGACTTATCAAGTTATTTATTCTGGGATTTTAAAAGCGTGTAAATTAATTTTAATTAACGAATGTAATTAAATGGGGAGAGAGAAAAAAAAATTATGAATTTCAAGAGACTAGAGTCCAATAATATTCACACCCAGCAAGCATTCCCTCTGTTTACAAAGGGAAGGCTCACGAGATATGATATACAAAGACTCCAGGACCTTGAGGTGAAATGTGGAGTTGGACCTAGATAAAATAATAAATCGGTCACCACTAAAATTTTCTACACATTCCCTTCTATTTATTAAATGTTCAGCAATAGCAGAACCAGAACTGTTAGTCAGTTGGCTATTCCTAGAGAACGGATATATATCATATCATATCATATCTATCTATCTATATATATATATATATATATATATATATATATATATATATATATATATATATATATTTATGTGTGTGTGTGTGTGTGTGTGTGTGTGTTCAGTTAAATCTGAGAATGAATAGTCAAGATCTTGATTAGGGTCGAAGAAAAGAAACTGAAGGAGAAAATTTATTTGGTAGAATAAAGTCTAAGATATTTGTTTTGCAAAATGAAACATTGCTTTACTTCAATATATTTTGAAGCAAATCAGGTGTAAGTTTAAAGTGAAATTGAAATTTTAAAGGAAGAAATTTGATCAATGTTTTTGTTATGCTTTTTAGAAGGAGCGAATGTAAACAAATCTTAGCAAAATGAGAAATTCTGACTAATCTTATCATCAAAAATGCTATGTCAGGCCTATGTTGCATCATCATTTTTTCCCCTTTCTTGACACCTGCCTAAATCCTTATTATCAAAAAAAGAATCCGTTCATAGCTATCTATCTATCTATCTATCTATCTTTCTTTCTCTCTCTCTCTCTCTCTCTCTCTCTCTCTATATATATATATATATATATATATATATATATATTATTTATCAGTCTATCAATATCTATATCTCTGTTATCTATCTATCTATCTATCTATATATATATATATATATATATATATATATATATATATATATGTCTATTAATATCTATATATCTCTGTTAATATCTATCTATCTATCTTTCTCAGTCTATTAATATTTATTAATCTATATATCTATATCTATTAATCTATGTCTATTAATATCTATCTCTGTTTATATCTGTCTCTCTATCTATGTTCATATCTATCTCACTCTCTATGTTCATATCTATCTATGTTCATATCTACCTATCTAGCTAGCTATCTAGCTATCTCTGTTCATATCTATCCATCTAGCTATCTAGCTATCTACCTAGCTTCCTATCTCTGTTCATATCTATCTATCTATCTATCTATCTCTGTTCATATCTATCTATCTATCTCTGTTCATCTCTATCTATCTATCTATCTATCTATCTATCTATCTATCTATCTCAGTACCTATCTCTGTTCATACACAGGCGAAAATAATTTTAAAACTCATGGTTAAAGTTTTATTCATTTCACAATATGTTTCTAATAAAACAATATAAGTTAGTTTTATTGTGTACGATTTACGAAGAATTTATTTTCTCTTTCCAATGATATAAAAAATATATATTTTTCTACAACTTGAAAATTTTTAATGCTGTCGTCAAAATAAGTGTAAGACCGTATGGTATTATGCAAATTATTTGCTAAATGGGTTGTCACATGACTGGTCATTAATGTCATTATATAGTGTAATAAGTGAGCATTGTTATATAATTAATTCGCTAAAGGAAAGCGTCGGAATCTTAGCCCAGAAACATTGTGAAATGAATAAACCTTTAACCAACAGACATAAAATTATTTTCGTCAGTGTAGATAGATAGATATGAATAGAGATAGTTAGATAAACTTATTTTCGCCAGTCTATCTATCTAATCTATTTATCTATTTTTTTTTCTCTCTCTATCTCTAGATCTCTCTCTCTATATATATATATATATATATATATATATATATATATATATATATATATGATCATATCTCTATCTATCTCCCATACCAGGTCAGCCTACCTTAAAAAAGAAGGTCAGCTGAGTTTAGGGGACTCTGAACTTTTCCAACGGGCCTTGTTTCTGCATGTATTGCTTTTATAGTAAAATCTGAGAAGACAAAGAAAGGTTGTCCCTATAAGAGTGGTCCCTAGCGGTCTAAACCAAAGAGGAACTCGCAACCGCCATACGAAAAAAAAGCACAAATCAGTTAAGCCGTTTACCCCTCTCCTCACCTCGTCTCACGTTTACTCGCTCGCTTACAGCAGACGAGAAAGCTAATAAAAGCGGACGAGGGCTAAAATTTTGTTTAAATGTGTTTTTTTTTTCATTTTGGGTAGAGGTAACAGTTCCACCAAAGAATTATTTCCACACGCGTTCGACAAGAAGAAGCTGTACCCTGCAAACGTACCTGGTTTTGGTCTGAGCTGCAACCCTACAGCCGTAAGCCGGAATAATCTGACACGGTCGGCATATACTGGCCCAATTCACTCCTTTATTTGGCGATAATAATATATTGATTTTAATAATTACAGAGAATGGACATACAACGGAAGAGGAGTTTGATCTTTAAAAAGAAAATCATTGATTATTAATAACGAAGTTTTAGATAAAAATCAACAGGAATCTGAGAGTGGGGGCAGCTACATCATCGAAATACAACAAAAATTAAATACAAACCAACAACAACAGCAACAAATAATAATAATAATAATAACAAATATTGATTAAAGATATTATCTGTGGCAATAATTATGTAGGACTTTCGCTGGTGGTGGGGGTGGGCTGGATAAAGCGCGTAGGAAAAATGGTGGTGATTGATTGTAAAAATAATTGATCATGAAAATTGATTAAATCAACCATGACTTTTTTTTTAAATACAAAATACAAAGACGGCGGAATTCATGGTAACATTTCAGACTAATAATCACGTTTAAATACTAATTTCAACCAAAACCCGGAAAAACCTACTCCGTCTAGTTAGAGATTTTCTTTAAAACATTGACCACAGACAACGAAATAACTATAGTTTGGCAGCTTTTAACAAGACGCCGTCTACAGGTTCTCTTCTGTTGACCAAGGTTTACCTCATGTCGATAAAGAGATCCCACCCCCATGCCGACCAAATGATCTCCACGTACTGATCAAATGCTCCCCAGGTGTCGAACAAGAGTTTCCCCAGTGCTGTCCAAGAGTTCGCTGGTGTGGACAAAGGGTTCCCCACGTGCTGACCAAGAGTTTCACCCGGGCCGACCAAGAGTTCCCCGTGTTGATCAAGTTCTAATCGGGGCTTCTAAGAGGTCCTCCATGTTGAGTATAATTTCCCTGTGCCGACTAAGAAATCCCCCGTGCTTATGAAAAGTTCCCTCCTGCTGAATAAGTGTTCCCCACCCCAGTCCTGAAGAAGAGTTACAGCTGGGCCAACCAAGAGCTTCCCACGTGCTGACGAAGATTTCCCCCGTGCTGAATCAGAGTTACTCCCTCTTGACTAAGAGTACCCCCATTCTGAGCAAGAGTTGTTCGGTATTGACCAAGCGTTCCCCCTGTGCTAACCAAGAGTTCCACACAGGCCGACCAAATGCTTCAGACGTGCTGACCATGAGTTCCGCCTTTTTTTACCAAGGGTTCCTCCCCTGCTGAGCAAGAGCTCCTCTCGTACCCACTAGAATTTCTACCCGGGCCGATCAAGTGTTCTCCCGTGCCTACCAAGAGTTCTACCGTGTTGAAAACGAGTTCCCCCGTGGCAAACAAAGAGTAACCCCGTGTTGACCAACAGTACCCTCCTGCTGACCAAGAGTTCCTCGACGTTGACCAAGAGTTGCCCCTCTCCCGGGCCGACCAAGAACTCCCTACGTGCTGGCCAAGAGTGTCTCTGTTCTGACCAAGCGTTCCACTCGTGCTGGGCAAGTAATCCACCCGCACCAAACAGGAGTTTGCCCGTGCTGACTAGGTGTTTGCTCGTGCTGAACAAGAGGACCTACAAGCTGACCAAGTGTTTCTTCCGTGCTGATCAAGTGTTCCACCCGGATCGACCAAGAGTTCGCCCGTGTTGACTAGGTGTGTGCTCGTGCTGAACAAAAGGACCTCTAAGCTGACCAAGTGTTTCTTCCGTGCTGATCCAGTGTTTCACCCGGATCGACCAAGAGTTCGCCCATGTTGACAATAATTTCCCCCGCGTTGACAAAGATTCCTCCACGTTGAACAAGAGTTCCCCGTACCGACTAAGAGTTCGCCTGTGCTGACCAAGAGTTCCCTCGCTCTGACCAAGTTTTCTCTCGTGCCGTCTATGATTTATCTCCTTGGCTTTTTTGATAGATTCGCACTGACGAGCCCCAACAACGGGTTTAATGGCAGGGATACATTTAGTATGAAAACAATGTCAAAACGTCTGCAATAAATCAATACATCAATACAAATTATTTTTTATTGCTTGCCTTGGATATTATAACATTGACCTTTGAAGTCAGATTTCGTAATTGACCGCTAGCAGTCAACGTGTTAATAAACCTTCTCTCCATTATTTTTAATTTCCTCTCCTTATATGTTTTATTATCATTATTATTTCTCCATAGATGTTTATTTTCAACTCTTTCTTTGTATTTATTGTTAGGTATTTTTTCTGTATTAAATCTTCTTCAAAATAAAATCTATATTCTGCAGGCTACACTAAATCTACATATTATAATATTTTTAACTGGTTTCATACCAGAAACATTCACAGTCTCGTTTTCGCAAAACGCACAAGGTTTCTGAAATATTCCTGTCCTCTTATTAATTCCTCCAATGTTTCATTAATTATTCACATCAAATGTTATAAAATGTATTTTTCCTTTGTTCAATTCTAAGGGAATATATTTTAAAAACGATCACACGTGATCCGTCAAATATCCTAATTTAATTTATCTACCTGTAGTATTTAGCTTCTCAGAAAAAAAATCCAAATGATGTATGATACTGTTATGGTCCAAGTTCCTTGTACCACGGGGATTGTCCAAGATTAGAACCAATGAAAGAATAACACGAACACAGGTATGAAATACAAAGATATTGTTATGGGGTCCAATATCTTCTCATATAAGTGGACTCTACCAGTGTTACTTGGTGCAAGGTCATTAAAATACCCAGAGTTAGATATATAGAGAGAGGGATATACGGATAGTGAGAGAATATACGAACGGAGATAGTGTAGGTAACCTCTTGCCAAAGTCACATTACAAGCACGTAGACTCTCTCTAAGTAAGTCCTACTTTTGTATATATCTATCTGGATTTTGCTACTAACAATCTCCTGGACTTACTAACAGTATTATATGTTTGTATGATTGTATAAATATATTTTATTTATATATTTAATTATTGCGTTTGTCATTCCTTGAGACCGAATTCATCTCGAATCCACAACAACTTAAAGGACAAGGATTCGAACAATACGGGAAAACAAAAATCAATAAAAGGAAAATATTCCCTCGTCGTCCAACAAACAAATTGGCACGAAGATTCGAACTGCAAGGAAAACAAAAAATCAACAAAAGAAAAATCTTCCTCGTCGTCCAACAAGCAAATTGGCTTGAGCGATTCGAACTCACACGAAAAGAAGAAATAGAAAAATCCTTCCCACGTCGTCCATCAACAAATTAGCGACAAAGACTTTCGAGAAGTAAAAATACATAAAATTGAGTTGTCATGGAGGATTTTAAAAATACGTTGGTAGAATTGATAAAACACTAAAATGAGCAACAATGCAAAAATACCAAAATGATCAACAGTTTTATCTAAGAAAAAATGGCAAAAAAGCAATTATTACAAACGAAAAAGGAAAATCAAGATAGACAAACAGAGCTCCAGGAACGAATATTGAAAAAGTAATGGGCAACAAGCAATTAGATATTGAAAAAAAGCAACATTTTCGTAAGACGCAGTGTGGAATACCATAGATTTTCAAATTTATTTAGATGAGGACAAAAATTTTGGAGATTAGTTCAGAAGACATGAAGACATTTTTAACATAGACTGTCAAAATTGAAAGAAGCAAAAAGCTATGTCTATTAAGCTTAGAAAATTAAGAACATAAGAATATACAAATTCTGGATTATATCTTTATAAAAAGATGAACCCTTAAGATTTAATTCAGCCCACATGTCTTAAAGAACTCTTCAGCCCCAAAACACCACTCTTCCATAGGAGGTTGAAATGGATAAACCTGGTAAAGGGCGATAATGAAGATTATTCCACGTTTGCCGCAATCGTAAATAAACACTGTGGGTTGAATAAACTAGCGGAATTAACCCCCTCAAATTTCAAATTTGGGATTTTGTTCAAGGGCTATTTCTACAAAAGATATGTAAAAGTGCGTAGAAGAATGTTTTATAAAATTACAAAATGAACTGGGTCTAACATTACAGCAATTATCGGAAGATTGCCAGAGATGTTTACATAAAGAAAGACGCAAAGGATATTGAAGAATCAGTAGTTTCTGTATACGTTAAACAAAAGTCTACGTTCTTCATCTCCCCGGAAAGAAAAACAAAAATTTACAACAATGAAAAAAGATTCATCCTCCTCGGAAAGAAAATAGAACATTTATGATAAGAGAAAAAGTACAACATACAGGACAAATTATGACGAATATCGAAACAAATATGCCCCTCCATCAGCATGTTAACGATGTGGAGGATTACATTGGAACAAGGATTGCCTTCAGATATAAAAACGCTCTATCCCTGATATTATCCCAAAAAAAAAAAACACCTTAAGACCCAATGTAGAAATAGAAAAATATATAAGAATAAGATATATAAGGATGCATAACGATGACAACAATGTCAATGTAAGGAAATATGTGGAAGTGGAAATTTAATAAAAAGATTAAGTTACAGCTGGATTCGTGTTCCGACCTCACGATAATCAACTTACAGACATGGAAAAAAACTCAACAGACCTATTACCATGTTACATTACTCAAAAAATTGCAAGTCGGTTACAGGCAAATGAATAAAATAAAATAATCGTGAATGTTAAATTTCACCGCAAAAACAAAAAACTTAAGATATACGTCATGAAAGATACTGAAAATTTAGTAGGTATCGACTGGATGCAGAAATTCAAAGTTTGGGACCTAATCAACTTAGTTTTGCAAAAGTTTGAGTTCAACCATCAGATACTATAAAATTGAAGGAGGAATTATAATTTTCCTACTATTTTCCACTGTTGGGACGATGCAACAAAATTTAAGGCCAAAATAGAATTAAAAGAAAACGTCCAACAAATTTTTAAAAAGAAGTGAAATGTACCAGCACATGCTAAAACAGAAAAAAATAGACAAAGAAATTGGAGAGATTGAACCAAACTGGGATTCTATCAAAAAACAGAGTTTAGGGAGTGGGCAATCTGGTTTATGCAGAAAAGGATCAGGAGAAATTTGCGGCGCAGATTTTTCGACGGGACTCAACAAGGCAATAAAAGACCACTATTACCCACTACTGAGCCCAGAGGAGATATTTACAAAGCTCAACGGCGGTAAGATATTTTCCAAAATAGATCTTACCAGGCTTATCTACAAATCCCAGGATGTCAAGAAGAGATTACGAAAATCCTATGCATTAATACGCACAAAGGGTTGTACAAATTCTGAGACTACCATTCGAGTAAAAGTTGCACCCGGCAAAAAAAATGATGGAGCACACGGTATTACGGGCCAGAATTTCAATTTGCTTATCTGATGATATTCTAATTAAGAGCGACAATGATGAAGAGCACAATTTCACAAAAGGCGTTTTTAGAAGACTTCAGGACTTCGGTTGAAATCGAAAGGAGAAAAGCACATTTTTCCAAATGAAATTAAATATTTAGGTCAAGAATAAATGAAAATGGCAGGAAACCGGACCCACAATGGATTGATTGTTATGGGGTCCACCCTTTTTCATATAAGTGGACTCTACCAGTGTTACTTGGAGTGCTGCCATTAAATACCCAGAGTTAGACAGTCAGTGAGAGAGGATATACGGATAGTGAGAGAATATACGAATGGAGATAGAGTGAGGTAACCTCTTGTAGAAGTCAGTTACAAGCACGTAGACTCTAAGGAAGTCCTACTTCGAGACTGTATATATCCATCTGTATTTGCTACTAACCGCGTTCCTGGAGTTACTAACAGTATTACTGTTTGTATGATTGTGTAAATACATTTTATTTCTTATATTTAATTATTGCGTCTTTCATTCCTTGGAAACCGAATTCATCTCGGAATCCACAACAGATATATTACAACAGAAATATAATACAAAAGAAGTAGAGGCATTAGTGATGATTATCAGAAGTGATTAGAGGGAACTATGTTGTCTCGACAAGTATCACTATTCCAATGTCCTTACAATATGCTCTCAATTATCTCTCCTCGTCTTACAACATCCTCCTACCTCTTGAGAGACGCAGTATTAATAATGTCAGGAATAGTCCATTATTATTATGGGTAAGTTCCCATAACAGATACAAAACGTGGCACCATCCTGGGTAAGACGATAAACTGCATCCCCGTCCTGGGGAAGAAGATAAACTACATCCGCGTCCTGGGGAAGAAGATAAACTAAATACAACAGCAAAGCTTTTTATTAGGATGTTTTGGGCACCGTGGAACCACTTCTTAATCGCTGGTTTTCCCAGGCCCAACCTGACCTGGGGTGGTAGAACTTGTCAGGGTCCCAGTTATGGGCAAATACTTAACCCCACAAAAAGAATTAAAACACTATGAAAGTATAAAAAAACATAGGTTTTAATACCAGCAATACCTTTTTAGAAAAATTATTACCAGCAGTATATTTTTGAAAAAGAAAAATATTACCAGCAATATATTTTTTGTTAAAAAAAGTATTACCAGGAATACATTTTTTAAATATTATTACCAGCAATAATTTTTTGGAAAAACAATATTACCAGCACTACATCTTTGATAAAAAATTAACCAGCAATAGATCATTGAAAAAAAAATATATTGACAGCAATAAAAATCTTATCGGCATTAAATAAACCATTAAGGTTGATATGCCGTAAAACAAAACAAACCTATATATACTGAGATAGATAGATAGATAGATAGATAGATAGATAGATAGATAGATAGATAGATAGATAAAAAATATTACCAGCAATAAAATGTTGTTGTTGGCTGAGATTGATATTAAAAGAAACCAAACCGAAATAAAGAAGCTATTTTTCGAAAAGCTTGAATTAAGGTGGATATAAATGACAGTTTCTAAAAAAAAAATGCAAATCAACAAAAAACCAATCAACATATTTAGATTTCGGCACAACAATTGACGTTGACATCGTTTAAAAAGAGGATACGTCAGGAAGTGATTTCCTTGTGTTTCTACAACCTGGAAAAATAGCGCTAAGAGAAAAGTTTACCAGGATGTATTTCATATGGTAGATATATAAACGGTACTGTGTTGAAGGCAGATACAGAAAGAGCGATAATTATGAAAATATAAGAATATCGATTTCAAACGACTAGGAAAGAACCCAAAGACCCTAAATAACATACTGTAAACCAAACCAAACATTAGAGCCGGTGTTGAAAAATACATCAAAAACGACATTATTTAACCTAATAGATAGATAGAGGTGTTTTTATAACAAAAATATTATCAGTAAAAAATCATGACAATGCAGATAAAAAACAAAATAATACATACTGATCATGTGAAATATATTTGTCCATATATTTAGCGAATAGAATATATATATATTGAGAGAGAGAGAGACATAGTGAACAGTAGATTAAAAAATATTACCAGCAAAACTTGTCGGCTTTAAATAACCAATTAATCTAAAGCAATCGTCTAAAATCTATCATAATGTTGGTTATAAACACCCACCCCAGATTTTGTTTAATGGGAAAGAACCCAAAGACTATTAACACCTGTTGAATGGGTTATTTAATTTGAAACTTTTGTCCACTTTAAATATTTTTATGCTGAAATTTTATCTAGATATTTTGTTTATCATATTAACACCTGTATAAATAAATTTATATATATATATATATATATATATATATATATATATATATATTGTTTTAAAACAAGGAATTTATTAATAGTAATAGTTCCTATGGACCTTTCGTCCAACATCTCATCAAGAGAAAATCGTTGGAAAAATTGATAAATTAAACGAAAAGAACAACATCGAAAATGAAAAGCAAAAAGGGGGGGGCACGCTAAAATCAATAACATATAAGTACATATACTTATAACGAGGGGAGGGGAAATAGCGTGTAAATAATTAGCGAGGAACAGTTAAAAATAAAATATCCCACACCAAATTAAGGGACTCCACAAAGTCCTTCTCCCGGCAAAATGAAGGTTTCCGTAATCCTATACAGACTGATTCCAAAATCTTCAAATGATTGTTGGAACCAGTTATGTGAATAATTTTGAACCACTTTTTCGTATACGATTTGGCACAGGCTATATTGTCTACTAGGTGTTGAGCAATAGTCGATTACATATTTGTAGCGGGAAGATAACACATGTTAACCATTTTGTTATGTCGTATTTTAGAAGGTACATGTTGATTAATTCTAATTTCCAAATCCAAGGTTGTACGCCCAACATAACCAGCAAGCGAACTGGCAATTAAATTCATATACCAAATTACTTAATTTGATGTAGGGCAATTCATCCTTGCGAAACGACAGAAACGCAAACCTTGTCCAAAAAATATAACGCAGAGGAACAGGGGGAAAACAACCAGAATCCGACTTGCTATCTTGCTTAACTAAGCTTTGACCCATATCCCCAATCCAGGAAATCTTCAAATAAACCGGACATTTAGAATGCCCCTGGACTTTAGGAAATTGAAATTCCCTAGACTTCTTATTAATAATATAATTAATAAAGGCTTCCGGATAGCCATTACTAAGGAAAATCTCCCTAATATTCTCAAATTCAGAGTCCAGTCTAGTAGATCAAATTTTGAGCGCCCTGTACACCAAGGTGTTAATAAGATTAATTTTCCTTGATGTAAGTGCAAACGCACACCAATTCATCTACTGGCTAGTAAATGTAGGTTTACGATAGATACTTGTAAGAAACGTCCCTCTACTACGCTCAACAACAACGTCCAAAATAGCCTAACGTGCTTTTACCAGTTGAGACACAGAGAAGCGTTTCTGTTAGCAAGGTCGATATTACTGTTTTTAAACTACAAATCTCCATGATTTTCTTTCGTACATTCATATCTGTTCGATGTGTATGCAAATGTAAACAAATGACGTCACACATTATGAAATGGACAAGGTCCGAGAATTATTTTAAGACATTTTTATGTTTATACATTCTTTTTTTATAGATACAAATATTTAAGTAAATGCTCTGTTTTATAATAGACAGTATTAAGACCATTTACCGGCCTGAATGTCCGAGAAATTTTCATAGTTGAAGGCATGCAATTAATGTATCGTTATGCATTTTTTTTTAAGCATTTTACTATAAATATGTATTATTGGTATATATATATATATATATATATATATATATATATAAATATGTATTATTTTATATATATATATATATATATATATATATATATATATATATATATATATATATATATATATATAATAATACATATTTATAGTAAAATGTTTAAAAATGCATAACGATGCATATATATATATATATATATATATATATATATATATATATATATATATATATATATATATATATAAAATGCTCTGTATATTTATTATAAAAATGTAGTGTTTTTATTTTGGAGCTTCATTATTTAACGTATATCTAGAACCCTAACAGATGCTACCACCCCGGTTCAGTCAGGGTGGACCTGGGAAAAACGGCAATTAAGACCAGCTATATCACCTATCAGAGGCATTGGTGTCGGATGCAATTTATAGTCATACCAAGGACTAGCATCATGAAGTATTATTACTTAATATTTCACTTTCTAGATTGCACACACACACACACACACACACACACATAAGCACACACACACACATACTTCCTGAAGACTATAGGGCCACAGCTCAAAATCTTCTTGAAAATGTGTATGTGGCCGAAAGCTCTTGTGACAATGAAAATTATGGAAAATTTCACTACACCCTTATTTCTACAAAACGAAAGCACGTAAGGATGCTGGACAAACTAAAAAAAATATATATATAATTATATCTTCCTTGTATACCATATTCAATGAATGCTATTTAAAAGAAAGGTTGTTGCCCAAACTGATATATATATATATATATATATATATATATATATATATATATATATATATATATATATATATATATATAGAGAGAGAGAGCGTCCCATGAAAATAAGTGGATACAACGTCTAAAAAGAAAATATCCAGCCAGGCTAAATCATAAATTTAACAATACAGATAGTACCAATATATAAATCAACAAATCAAAACCTACCCACATTTCTCACCCACACAAGACAGGCATACTTACGGAGGTGTGGAGGCCTCACATTTATACACACACCCACACTAATATACACACTTACACGCATCATACTTACTCACTCCCTAATGAGCCAAATGATAACACACACCCACAGCAATACACAGGCTTACACATCTCATACTCACTCACTCCCTAAGAACCAAATAACACACACACACACACACACTTAACAGAGACACATCCCCTCTCCAGGAACCAATAAAACTGTCAAAATGACCACGGGAATTTAGAGAAGCATAGATCCATCCAGTTCTTATCTCAAATAACAACTTAAAATAGACTGTTTGACCAATACAAGGAATGTTAAAAGATTCATGTTAAAAAGATAAAAAAATTAAAAAAAACAAATGAAAACTACAGACAAAAGTTCATTTTCTCCAGCAAGACATTCATTTCTATAGTTTAGTGCTACCAGCAAGCAGAAATATTTCTCCTCCCGATGATGGCCATGTTGGTCGAAACTAGTCGAGGAAGCTAAATGAAATAATAATAAAAAAAAACGAAAGCATATTAATCTACAACCCAGTGTGCCTAAAGATTTTAATTTTTTAATATTTATTTATTGTTCAATATATATATATATATATTTATATATATATATATATATATGTGTGTGTGTGTGTGTGAAATACGGACAGAGTACAATTCCAATGTCCTTAACATTCAATTTAAAAGAGGGCTCAATACAAAGTAGAGAAATATTTATTTTAGGATATTACATCAAAAACATGTCACAAAACGCTACATAACTGCAGTCGTGTTTTAATGCGAATCAACAAACCTCATCAGGCGTTAGTAAAAAACAAAAATAAACTATTTTGCTAACGCCTGATGAGATGCTTTGACATAATTTTGATGTCATATCCTACAATGTGCCGTAAATTTAAGCAGCAAGTATTTTCAATCAAATTCAAACCACAATTTGTGCCTGTTTAATTGTTAGTTACATTTTCCAATTTTCGAATAAGATGCATATCGAAGATGTTATTGCATATAGACTGTCCGAAGGTGGTTTTTTCCTGTTTTGGAGAAGTATACTTGACCATCTTGGTCATTACCATGAAACATTTTGCCATTCTGATCCTTTCTAAAATTCATAAAGTCTTATGTACCTTAGGGAGGAGCTCATCCAAACAATTTCCATGAAAGTATTTATAGAAAAGACACATGAAAGCTTCATTACGGCAGTGGGAAAGTGACTAAAGCAGACATGCCATGTCAGGAACAATAATATTGCAGATTCATCTTTAGATTTTACCAAGAATCTCTCTCTCTCTCTCTCTCTAACTCTCTCTCTCTCTCTCTCTATATATATATATATATATATATATATATATCACGAGCACCAGGCCGTATGTGAACTTAGTCCAATGAGATCTTAATGTAAGTGTAAGGTATATATATATATATATATATATATATATATATATATATATATATATTATATGATATTATATTATAATATATATATATATATATATATATATATATATATATATATATATATATATATATATATATATATATTCTAGATTTTTATATATTATATTCTACATTCAACACCATCACTTGATAAGACACCGATATGGGTTTTTTAATTGTTTTCTTAATTTAGCATTATATTTATATATATATATATATATATATATATATATATATATACATAG